GCGTCCGTGCCCTTGGCACGCCGGGCACCCCGTGCCACCCGGTGCCACCCCCTGGCACACTGGGCACGCCTAGGGCTGTCCCCTGGGCGGTGGTGGGTGCTGGGCACCCCAGTGCCACCCTGGGCGGGCACTGTGAGGTCCCTGTGCCTGCAGGGAGGTGCTGGGGCACCCTGAGGTGGGGGCCCACCCCCTGGCACACTGGGCACGCCTAGGGCTGTCCCCTGGGCGGTGGTGGGTGCTGGGCACCCCAGTGCCACCCTGGGCGGGCACTGTGAGGTCCCTGTGCCTGCAGGGAGGTGCTGGGGCACCCTGAGGTGGGGGCCCTGCTGCAGGCGCAGGCGCTGGGGCCCCTCCTGCCCCCGGAGACCCAGCGCAGCCTCGAGAGCTCCTGCATTGCCGCCGTCAAGGTACGGGCGCCGCGGCAGGCACGGGGACGGGCGAGGGATGGGGACTGGGATGGAAGCATGATGGGCACCAGGGTGGCACTGGGACTGGCACTGGTGTGGGCACCAGGACAGGCACATGCTGGGCACCGTGGTGGCACTGGGGTGGGCGCACAGTGGACACTGTGGTGGCACTGGGGTGGGCACCGTGGGGGCACCGGGGTGGGGAAACTGGGGTGGGCGCCGTGGTGGCACTGGGGTGGGCACCGTGGTGGCACTGGGGTGGGCGCACAGTGGGCACCGTGGTGGCACTGGGATGGGCACCGTGGTGGCACTGGGGTGGGCGCACAGTGGGCACCGTGGTGGCACCGGGACGGGCACCGGGATGAGCACGTGATGGGCACAAGGGTGGCCCTGGGATGGGCACCAGGACGGGCACGGGGACCGGCACAGGGCTGGGGGCTGGCAGGGGACCCTGCGCCCTGCCGTCCCCACGCCTGCTGTCCCCATGCCCGCCGTGCCCGATGCCAGGCAAAGGTGGAGGTGGCGGTGGCACAGGAGCTGCAGCTCAGCGAGGACACCTGGGCAGAGGAGGCCTCCAGCCAGGAGCTGCAGGAGGGACTGGCCACCCGCGTCACCGGGGTACGGGCACGGCACCCACCGGGCACCTGCACCCAAGGGCCCCCCCGCTCCGTCCCCGGGCCCATCCCCTGGGGACCCAGGGCTCTGGAGGGTGACCCACAGCCCCGTAGGTGTGCTGGGGTGGCTGGGCACCCCATAGGGACACCAGGGTGCCCGGGTACCCCATAGGGACACCAAGGTGCCTGGGTACCCCATAGGGGTGCTGGGGTGGCTGGGCACCCCATAGGGACACCAGGGTGCCCGGGCACCCCATAGGGACACCGGGGTGCCTGGATACCCCATGGGGATGCCGGGATGCCAAGGTGCCCCAAGGGGATGGTGGGATGGCTGGTACCCCAGGGGATGCCAGGGTGGTGGCCGTGTCCCCAGGGGGCAGTGGGCTGGTGGCCGTGGCCCCCCCCCCAGCGGGGCCTGTGCCCATGCCCACAGCTGCTGCGGGCGCACGTGGACCGAGCCCCCCAGATCACCCCTGAGTTTGGCATGGAGATGGCACACAGCCTGCTGGGCGTGCTGGTGACCTTCCTGCACAGGTGGGCATGGGGACACGGGGGGATATGGGGACATGAGGGCACAGGGACATGGGGGCTGGGCATGGGGACGTGGGGGGACAGGGGCTGGGCATGGGGGCGTGGGCACCATGGGGGGACAGGAGCCACAGGGCGCAGGACAGAGCTGGGATGGCCGTGGGGGGGCACGGGGGGACTGTGGTACCTGGATGCCAGGTCCCCTGGGTGCTGGGGTCCCCTGGGTGTCGGATCCTGAGGGTGCCAGCACAGGTGACCCATGTGGATGCCCTCAGTTTCCAGCGGAAGGTGGAGCGGTTCCTGGAGGCCCCCGGCGAAGCCACCCCACCTGACGGTGCCACCGGACGGGCCATCGCCCTGGTCAACTGCTGCCCCCCCTTCAGGTAGAGGGCACCCCGAGCACACCCCCTCCCCGGGTCCTTGGGGTGCTCGGGGCGCTCAGGGTCCCCGGCAGCACCCACTGACCTCCTCGTGGCAGGACCTTCGTCGAGCGCCTGGCGCAGTTTGGGCACCCGGAGAGCGAGGAGCCCCGGCGCCAGGCCCACGCTGCCCTGGACAAGGTGACCCGGCTCTGCAACCACGTCCTCACCCAGCGCCTCTTCGAGGACCTCAAGGTGCCCACGCGGCGCAGGACAGCTTGGGGAGGGGACGGCCAGCGAGGTGCACCAGGGTGCTGGGCAGGGTGCCCAGCGGGTGGGTGCTGAGCCGGGCGATGCCCGTGGGTGCAATGGTCATGGTGCCCGTTCGTTGGGCGTTGAGCCAGGGTGATGCTCACGGGTGCAATGCTCATGGTGCCCATCGGGTGGGTGCTGAGCCGGGCGCCGCCCGTGGGTGCAATGCTCCGTGTGGCCTCCCACCCCCCGGCCGCCACCGGGGGTGCCACCCGGGGGTGCCAAGACAGCTGCCGACCCCAGCTGCTCCCCCCCCCAGCCCTACTTCAACAAGCTGATGAAGCGCAAGTGGCTGACGAGCTCCGACGCCTTCGACACCATCGTGATGCACATCACCAGCTTCACCCAGAAGCTGCGCCCGCTGCGCCCCGAGCCCTACCAGGTGGGTGCCGGGTTTGACGCCGCGGGGTGACCGCCATCACTAGCGGCTTCTGCTGACCCTTGTGCCACAGGTGCTGGTGAGCGAGGTGCACCGGCGGGTGCTTATCGAGTACGTGCGGCCGCTGCTGCAGGTGCGCTTGGTCTGCACCTCGGCCAAGATGCGCGCCCGGGTGGCCGCCCGCCTCGGGGACGAAGCCCGCCAGCTCCGCGAGCTCTTCAGCCGCTTGGTGAGACCCCCGTCCTCTCCCCGGCACCTTTGGGTGCTCCTCGGGTGGGGGCGACGGCGCTGAGGTCCCCTGCGCCGGCAGGATTCGACCTCGCCCTGGCTGGATTCGGTGGTGCCGCGGTTGAGGGAGCTGCTGGTGCTGGAGGACACGGCGGCACTGCAGATGGAGGTGGGCGTCCTGGTGAGGGACTTCCCCGACGTCCGGTGAGTGCTGGCGCCTGGCAGTGGGCCCCAGGGGGGCGGCGGCGGGGTGGCATGGCCAGGCGGGACACCATGGCCCCACAGGGACAGGAGTGGGGTGGCACATGCCCCCACAGCCACTGCAGCCGAGCGGCATGGCCAGGCGAGATGCCACCTCCCCACAGGGACAGGGGCAGGACACGGTGTCCCCACGGGGACCAAAGCGGGGTGACAGGACGCCGCGTCCGTCCTTCCTGGCAGCCCCCCCCCCGCTGCCGGTCCCTCCTGGCCGCCCGCCGGGAAGCGGCCGCGGCCCCGGGCCAAGTCCCCTCCCCGTCCCCGAGTCCCCCGGGGGGCCAGTGGCACGCGCAGGCCCGGCAGGATGCCGCCACTTCGGGGGCTTTAAATAGAACCACTCCTGGCTGCAACTGGTACCGGTTAAACCCGGGACCAGGATTCGCCCCAAAGCTGGGTGTAACGCTGCACCCCCCCAAGCTGGGTGCATGCCTCTCCCCAGACACGGGTGCACTGCTACACCCCAAATCTGGGTCCCCGCCTCTCCCCAAGTCTACGTGCATCACCGCACCCCAGGGCTGGGTGCAATGCTGCACCCCAAAGGTGGGTGCATGCCTTGCCCCGAGCTGGGTGCAACCCCGAATCTGGGCGCGTGCCTCTCCCAGGGGACCGGGGTGCCCGGCAGCGGGCGTCCCTGTCCCCCTGAGCGTCCCCGTCCCGCAGGCGGAAGCACGTGGCGGCGGTGCTGGACGTGCGGGGGCTGCGGGGCCAG